CCACCCTGGCCTACATGGGTCTCCAGCTGAGCCCGCTCCTCCATGGCATGTTGTAACTGCTGCTTACTATCAGAGGCCTCAGATTGGCTTGAGAACTGTAAAAGGAAAATAAAGGTTTCATCCACCACAGTGCTTCCCACAAGAGTGAGCCAGATTAATGGATAACTCATATGAGAAGCTCAGATGCCATGTGAGAAAAGTGCCAGGAGGTGGTGAACAGCCTCTTGCGTGTGTCATTTAAATGAAGCAGAATGATGGCTTTTCAGCTAGGCACAGTGGGTCACACCTGCAACCTCAGCACTTGGAAGGCTAAGGTAGAAAGATTACCATGAGTTCAAGACTAGTCTGGTTGCCTAGTGAGTTACAGGTCAACCTGGCTACTGATAAGACTTTGTCTCAAAATCAATCAATAAATAAAGTAACAAAAAAGATGGTTTTTCAACCAGGATAAATCAAAAAAGAAAACTTTAACAGCCATATCACAACCACTAAGATTATGACTATATAGGTCAGGTCTACAGCAGGACCAGGAGGAGGCTTCAAACTCTCCAGTGCTTGGCTACAGGTCACCACCAAGGATGCTGAGACTGTGTGCCTGGGCCTTAGGGGTATGAGCTGCACCTCTCACCTGCTGCAGCAGCAGCTCCGACATTTCCAGCTTCTTCTGCAGGTCCTCCACCCCTGACTGTGCAGCTGCTTTCTCTGCCACTAAGACTCGAAGTTTCTCTTCCAGTTCTGAGTTCTGCTGCTTCAGGTCCTCATTATTTTTGCTATGGCCAGAGGTAATGCAGAAAAGAAAGAACCAAGAACAGAAAGGACCACATTTTAGAGCAACTTATGAGCCTTGCTACAAAGTCACAGACACAAGTGACAGATCATACCATGAGTCACAAGTATGGCTGGGACTAGCGCATAGATCTACACAAGGCTAAACCTGTCTCCTCTGAGCCTCAATTTCCCACACTAAAGCTGCAGGAAGCCCAACCTCCTTCCCATTCTTACTTGTTCTTGTACAGCTCCAGCTTGAGGGCATCTCGCTCTTTGGTTAGGTCCTTGTTGTACTACAGATAAAGAGAGCTGAGTCTGGACCTGGCAGGCTAAAGAAACAGCTGGCACAACACCAACGGCCCCAGTGATTTCACAGTGACATCTCTTTTTCCCAACCACACTGATGTTTCCCAAGGCTTTTCTAAGCCTGTGGTCTTAGGTTTCTGTGTGTCTGTTTGGTTTTTCTAGACAGGGTTTCTCTGTGTAGCCCTGGATGTCCCTCTCTAGTCCAGGCTGGCTTTAAACTCAGAGATCTGCCTGAGTCTGCCTCCAGTGTGCACCATGACTGCCTGACTTTGTTTTGTTTTTAAGGTGGGGTCACACTATGTTATCATAGCTGGCTTCAACCTCCTGTGCTTAGATGATCTTCCTAATGCAGCCTGGGAGACCAAAAGTCCACACCATCAGTCATAGCCTTCAGGGTTGGTTTTTTTGTTTTGCTTTGTTTTTTGAGATAGGGTTTCTCTGTGTAACTTCAGAGCCTGTCCTCGAACTAGCTCTTGTAGACCAGGCTGGTCTCAAGCTCACAGAGATCTGCCTGCCTCTGCTTCCCAAGTGCTGGGATTAAAGGCGTGCGCCACCACCGTCTGGTGTTTGTTTTTTGGTTTTGTTTAATATTTTTAAAATGTTGTTTATTATATGTGTATTGTTGTTTTGCCTACACATATGTCTAATCACCACAAGCATAAATTATGGATAGTTGTGAGCCACCATGTGGGTAACTGGGAATCAAACCTGAATCCTCTGGAAGAGCAGCCTGTGCTCTGAACTGCTAAGCCATCTCTCCAGCCCTGTTTTTGTTTTTAATTAATAATATTTTTTTTACAAAGCTGGGAACCAAACTCAAGTTCTTGTATAGGCTAATCAGTTACTCTATCACTGACCAATCATACACTAGCTCTCTTTCATTTTTTCTCCTGAAGCAGGGGCAAAAGAACCAGGCAAGCCTAGAATCTATACTATAGCCCAAGCTAGCCTTGAACCCTCCTGTCTCTGTCTTCCCATGCTGAGATCACAGCTATGTTTCACCTTCCCAGCAATTATTTTGGTTTTATGAGACAGTCTCAGGCAGACGGGGCTGGCCTTTCTCTTTCAAGTGCTAGAATTACAGGGATGTGTCACTCCATCTGGCTCACTCTTTATTAAAAAAGAATTATTTAAATTTTTTATTTTTTGAGACAGGATCCTCTCTATATAGCCCTGGTTGTGGTGGAACTCACTATGTAGACCAGGCTGCCTCCTGAGTGCTTCGAAAACACCCAACCCCCCAACACACACTCCTTTTGTTTTGTTTAATAAGAACTCCTGAACCAGGCTGTGGTGGGACAACCCTTTAATTCCAGCACTTGGGAGGCAGAGGTAGGCAGATCTCTCTGAGTTCCAAGCTATTCAGGACTACAAAACAACAACAAAAAAGGAAAAACTCAGTAAAAGGGCCAGGTGTTCTTCCAGAAGACCTGGGTTTGGTTTCCAGCACCAACATGGTGAATCCAGTTCCAGGGGATCCAAGTGCCCTCTGCAGGCGCCAGTGATGCTTGAGGTGCATATACATGAAGTCAAGCAACACACACACACAAAATAAAAGAGATTAAGAGCACTGGCTGCTCTTTCAGAGGTCCTGAGTTCAATTCCCAACAACCACATGGTGGCTCATAACCATCTATGAGATCTGGTGCCCTCTGCTGGTGAGTAGGCAGAATACTGTATACATAATAAATAAATCTTTTTTTTTTTTTAAAAAGTAAATAAACCTTAACAATATAAATAAAAGAACTGTACCAAGTGATGGTGGTGGTGGTGGTGGTGCACACCTTTAATCCCAGTACTCAGGAGGCAGAGGCAGGCAGATCTCAGAGAGAGTGTTCCAGGAAAGCCAGGGTGACACAGAAAAACCTGTCTTGAAAAATAAAAAAAAAAGAAACAAACAAACAAAGAACTCCATAAGCACAAAGCAGGCAGGAAAAAAGACTGGGACCAGGACATGGTGGTTTAGACTGATCTTAGCACGTGGAGGCTGAGGCATTTACAGCACTGAGCACTTCACTGCTAACCTATCCAATCTTCACACCCATTGACAACAGTTGCTGTCACCCCCACTGGGCAGAAACACAGTGTACAAAAGTGCTGGCTTGAAGTCACTTAGCAGAGATGGAACTTGAGCATTTTGGGGTATCTAAATCTCTAGGCCCTTTCCCCCAGAGTTGCAATTAAGAGGAAGAAAGTTAATTTCTATTTGGATCTTGTGCTCTCTTCTGAACAGATGGTCTATTCACACAATCCAAAACTCAGAGGGTATAGAAGCAAAATGCCTCCCGATTGTCATCCTGTTCCCAGCTCCGAGTTTGTCAGTCATCTCAAACATACTCTACATGTATTGTACACACACTACCCTACCCACAGTGGCACAGTGATAAGCTCTTCTGTACTTCCACAGCCCAGGGGCTATATCCCCTCTATCAGCACTTGGCCAAGGTTACAGCCAGCTGAGGTCATAGCCTGCTTCTAGGTTTTGCATCCAGAGCTCACTTGTGCAGCCCTCAGTTACCCAGCTGTGGACTCTTCCCCAGTTTGCTTCTTCCAACCTCACAACAAAAGCAGCAACAAACAGCTCATGCTAAATTGTCAGCAGCAAGGCACTAGACCATGCAGAAAAGTCCTGTAAGCTCACTGTCTACCAGGAAGCTGCTGATGGCCAGACAGGCAACTTGTCCTACCTTGTCCGCCTGTTTCTGTTGCGTTGACACAGTAGACAGCGTCCGCTCTAGCTCTCCCACACGCTGTCGGGAAGACTGCAGGCGGCTGGCAAGATCCTCTGACTCTCCTGAAATGAGAGCCGTCTACATGGAGCCCCAGGGACCCTCCCTCAGGCCTGCCAAGGCGTCAGCACAAGGCTGAAGAATGCTCTGATCCTACCTGCTTTCTGCCTGGCTGCTTGCTGTGTGTGAGCCAGGGCTGTCTGTAATTCTGCCTTCTCAGACACCAGGATGCCTATGGTCTGAATGTGAACCTTTGGAAGAAAAGCCCCCAAAAGTGCTGAGAGGAAGGAGAGATGCTCTCTGGGGGACATAGGGATATCACACAGGCCACTCACCTGCAGTTGTTCCCTGAGAGCTCCCTGCTCCTTTGCCAGCTTCTGCTGATAATCCCTCTTCTCCTGCAGGCATGGGAAATGCAGTTCTTAGCAGGGAAGCAGAATCCCAGCAATGGACGAGCCCCAGAAAGCCACCAGTGGCCCAGGACAGGTTATCAAGGATCCTATGGAGGACACCCTGTGGGGTGAGTCTTCTCCAGGATAGAATCAAGCAAGACCAAAATCTGCAACTCTGAGGCCTCCCACAACCCCATCAGCCATGAAAAGAGCAAACACAGAAACCACAGTACTTTTTCCAGTTGATCCAGAGTGTCTTGGTTCTGTTGTTTCTGTGGGAAGAGTCAAAGGAAGGTGACTGGGGCTAGCCCCTTTTATGCTACCCCATACCAAGACAGAGCAGGGGGATGGATTTGAAAAAGGTGCTCAGACCCCCATGGGCACATGAACCAACAAACTTCCCAAGCTCCCAACAAACTACAGTCTGTGTCTTGGCTGCCTCTCATTCACAACTATACAACAGAGGTTTAAATCTGGGTCCAAGTTAAAGGACAGTAACACTAGAAACGAGTTTGAGAAAGAAGACTACCTTCTGCCAACTTGGGGACTTGGAACAGTGTGCTGAATTAAGAACTGACTGTATCTTGCATAGCCAAGAGAGGAATGGGAGAGCACTTGGTTCTGACAATTCAGTAAGCCTTTAAACTCTTGCTACTTAAGAGTGGAAAGAGGTCTCTGACACTCTCCAACTCTGCCTCAACAGGAAACTCAAACCCAGGGAATGGTGTAACCAAAATCAAAGAGCAAATCAGGACCTAAGCCAGGGCAGGACATGGGGCTCCTGACAACCAATCGGGTTTGTGATCTCTTCCACTGGAGGCACCAAGCTCAGGACAAGTGGGGTGAGGACTCAGGCTAGGAGTCTGGAGTACAGAAAAGAGGTGGAGAGCAACGAGAAGAGCCATGCTGCATGCTCTATGCTCTGGCTGCCTCCAGCTGAGACTGAGGCCCCCAGGTTTCCCATTGCCCCTAGGTCCCAGGAGCCCCCAGTCTCTCTCTTCAGAGCCCCAAGGGGAAACTGAAGCCCAGGACTGGCAGCAAGAATTGGGGACCCCACTGGACTCTTACCAATTCCTCTATCGTGCTACTGAGTTGTTTGTTTGTTACATAGCTGGAGTCCAGGGCTACTGCTAGCTCTTGGTACCGGCTCTGAGGCGCATGCAGAGAGGAGGAGTTGGAGGAGGGATGGGGGAAAGGTAGAAAGAGCATCATTAGGGTTGGGGTGGTGGGCTGTCTCAGCTGGCAGCAGGCACTCAGGTCCCACTGTAAGAGGAGATAGGTGGTTGGATTAAAGGGTCACTAAACCATGTTCCAAGGCCACTTACCTCCAGTTCCTTCATGTTAGAAGATGTGAGGCCCTCCCCGTTGATGTAGGATGTAGACTAGGAGAGACAATTATCTCACATGGAGATGCTCTGTCACACTCAACGTCTAACCCCCCAGCCTCCTTCCTTCCCCCTCAACCAGCAGAACCTGCTTTCCTGTCTACCTTGAGCCTTTCCTCTCACACCATCTTTGTGCCACTCCTCATATTCTAATCCCGCCATGGCCCAGCCTCTGCCCCTCGACAGCTGTCATCTCCCACTTTCCACACCAGGATAAAATCACATCACCCATCAGGATCCAAATCTGTCTTCTCTGAGTCTGACAGGATCCTCTCATGAGCCAGTCTCCTGAGAATCCTGGCCTCAGCTTCTAACACGCTTTCTTCCCCTCTACCTTCTTTCTGGACCCCAATCCTGTGGTACCTCAGACACAAGACCATTGAGTTGTTGAGAAAGTTGTCGCAGACTCTCAGTTGATGAGAAAGTCCTAAGGAAGGAGGCATAGGGTCAGGGATGCAAGTGGTTTGACAGGAACCCGGCTCACAGGCAGAGGTCTGCCCTGACTCCCTTAGTAGGGAACGCTTACTTGGTCTCCTCCATGAGGTTAGAGCTATTGCCAGCATCATGGCTCTGTATGGGTAGAAATAAACCCAGGTCACTATTCAGCTTCTGCTTATTATCTCACAGGGACAGGGTGAGTCACGCTCATCAATACCCATCTCCCCAAGCCTCCCCAGCTTGGCCTCCCCATGCCAGGCTCCAGGAGCAGCACCTGGACCAAGCTACCTGAAGAGAAAAGAGAGTTCAGAGAAGGTAAAGCCCTTTGGCAAACAGAGAGGAGTGCAGCAGACAAAAGGGAAAAAGCACAAACCTGAGGCGATGCCATGCTAGTGAGGTCAGCATCAGGGGAAGGGACAACACCAAGAAACATAGTGTCATCAGCAGCAGTTGGCGGTGCAGGAGCAGTGTGGTCAGTGGGAGCCTGTCGTAGAACAGAGCAGGGGGTCAGAAGACCTTGAGGCGCCTCATTGCCATGGACATGAGGTGATGGGACAAGCAGGGTAGGACAGCAGCAGTCACAGGACAGTTGCACATGCTGGGAGCTACTGGGGTGATAGACACGGCCTGCCCAGGCCTCAGGCCACTTAGTAGCATTTTGAAGGGCCAAAGGTCAAAGCAGGGGCTGCAGGATCTTCTTCCTGAACACCCGAGGACCTTGTTCCCTCTGGAGCTCTGACCTGTGGCAGCCACAGTGGGTAGAAGAAAGTGCCCCAAGCTGAGCAATGGTGGTACATGCCTTTAATCCCAGCACCCGGGAGACAGAGGCAGGATGATCTCTGTGAGTTCAAGACCAGCCTAGTCTACAACAGCTAGTTCCAAGACAGCCTTCAAAGCCACAGAGAAACCCTGTCTCAAAAAAACAAAAAAACAAAGAAAAAAAAAAGAAGAAAAGAAAGAAAGAAAGTGCCCCAGTCCAGGAACCAGAGAGCTGGCCTGCATGGACTGTGACCCTGATAGGGGCCCTGTTCCTGGGATGGGCTCATTGTCATGGTCAATATAACTATCCGCCTCTCTCCTCTTGTTTTCCTGCCTTTCCTTCTCCCAGACCCACACACTAGCTCTTGTTGATTAAAGCAGTGAGCAATAGCTGCCCTTTGGCTTGCAGCATGCTGAGATCACATGACCTTCCTAGGAACAGTAGCCAAGGAACAATCCTAGGATTCAGGATTGTGGAAATCTCCCCATTTCCCTAGTGGTAACTACCTGCTTGACCAGCTGTACCAGTTACTCCTCAGGCTCAGGCCTCATTATTACTTTTTGCTTTTTTTTTTTTTTTTTAAGATTTTATTTATATATCACGTATACAACATTCTGCTTCCATGTATGTCTGCACACCAGAAGAGGGCACCAGATCTCATAACGGATGGTTATGAGCCACCATGTGGTTGCTGGGAATTGAACTCAGGACCCCTGGAAGAGCAGTGGGTGCTCTTAACCTCTGAGCCATCTCTCCAGCCCCTACTTTTTGCTTTTTTGAGACAGGGTCTCACTATATAGTTGCAAATGTCTTGAAATTCACTCTGTAGACCAGGTTGGCCTCAAACTTAGAGATCACCTGCCTCTGCCTTCCAAGTGCTACCATGCCCAGTGGGTCAGGCCTCCTTCTTAGAATATGTCTCTGGCTGGGCATGGTGGCACACACCTTCCATCCCAGCACTTGGGAGGCAGAGGCAGGCAGATCTCTGAGTTTGAGGCTAGCCTGGTTTACAGAGGGGGTTCCAGGACAGCCAGGACTACAAAGAGAAACCCCATCTTGAAGAACAAACAAACCAAATGTCTCTGGTTTAGAAGTCTCCTAACATCCAACAGAGATGCCAGATGGACAGAGAATGGGATGACAAAGGAAGAGGCCAGGGAAGCCAGGCCTGTCCAGCAAGGCTGGCCTGTAAGTGGCCCCACCTTTTTCCAGAGAGAGGGCTGCCTGCTTTCTGTGCCTTTTGTCTCGGCCTTGAAATGCTGACCAAATTCCCTCCATTGAGCAAGTGAGAAACCTTGGAATACTAAGGTGAGCCTCCCTCTTTGCAGGTTTACTGTGGCCATGTCCCTGGAATCCCATGTGACTGTCAGCTTTGAAGCACCCAGAGGTGTTGCCTTGACAGCTCTACAGTCGATCTAATTGGTAAGAGCAGGGTCACAGATGGTCAGAGGAGTGAGGCACTAACAGTGACAGACTCTCCTAGGCTCTGAGTCCCTTGCTACATCTTAGGAATAAACATCTCTGAGATTGGAAACATTCAGAGAGGGGGAAAAAAAAAACAAAAGCATTTTTCCAAGCACCTTTTGGTTTTCTCTCTGGCTATAGAGTCCAGGCTGCCCTCAGACTGGAGACCTCCTTTTTGCCTTAGCTTCCTGAAAGTAGGGAATGCAGGAGTAGGACACCATGCATGGCTGCTATGCTTTTAAATACTCTGTGAGCAACCAAATAACTCCATTTTAAATCTTACAGCTTTGCATGGAGTTTTAAAGTTTTCACTCCCCTTAAAACATCTCATGTCTGGCTGCAGAGATGGCTCAGAGGTTAAGAGCACTGGCTGTTCTTCCAGAGGTTCGGAGTTCAATTCCCAGCAACCACATGGTGGCTCACAACCATCCGTTATGAGATCTGGTGTCCTCTTCTGGTGTGCAGATATACATGGAAGCAGAATGTTGTATACATAATAAATAAAATCTTAAAAAAAACAAAATCCCATGTCATCAGAAACTACTTTTATCTTTGCATAACTTCTGTTTCATCTCTACTCAGGAGATACCATGCTCCTTCATTCCTGTAGTGGAAAATCAGTTACAGTCAAGAATGTTTTCCAAAATACAAAGAAAGTCATTTCCAGAACAGAGGAGCTGGGTGCTCAGATTAGTATTTTTTTCAATGAGGCCCTGGCTCTCTGTGTGAATGATTCCTTAGCACAGCAAATGCCAACTATGTGACTTCAAGTCGTACCCTCTCCCCCACCCCTGCCAACAGTGTGCCACCTCCAAGATGAGAAATGGGGCACAGTACCTGAGCAGACCACAATACCTGGCCAGGAACAGCTTTCCTGGCTGAAAAAGAGTCCAGCAGACCACAATACCTGGCCAGGAACAGCTTTCCTGGCTGAAAAAGAGTCCAGCTCCAGCCCAAGTCCTCATTCTGTTCTACACCCAGCTCTAAAACTGCCTTGGCTCAGGCACTCCTTCGGGTAGACAGAAGCCTGCTCAGTACTCAAATCAGGTCCAGGAGGCCATCTCCAAGCCCTGTGAACACAGGTCCTGGGCCACCTGGACTCCCTGTATCTCTGAAAGGTGGCTGCCTGTGAGCTTACTGCTCCTCTGCTCCCCAGCTCTCCCTGAGGATGAACGGGAAACCATCTTTCATCATCAGAGTAACTGCGAATGACCCCTTCTCCATCCTCAAGGCCACGGGGAACCTGTAGGTCACACAGCATCTTGTCCTGCTCATCTAATCTGGTGTTTGTGTGAGACAGGGTCTCACCAGGCTGGCTTAGGACTTAACCATCCATGTGTCTCAGCCTCCTGAGTGCTGGGCTTCCGGGCATGCACCACCACACCTGGAAGTTCATCTACTGTTGTCAGTGTTTAACAGAGGGCTTTTCCTATCAAGGGCCCACTGATTTCTCAAAGACACAGAGGGCAGAGTCTCCTGGTTATTTGTTTGTTGTTCTCTCTCTCTCTCTCTCTCTCTCTCTCTCTCTCTCTCTCTCTCTCTCTTCTTTCTTCCCTTCTTTTGTTTTCTTGTTTGTTTTCCCCCGAGACAGGGTTTCTCTGTATAGCCCTGGCTGTCCTGGAACTAGCTCTGTAAACCAGGCTGGCCTTGAACTCACAGAGATCCACCTGCTCTGCCTCCTGAGTGATGGGATTAAAGGGGTGTACCACCACTATCCAGTTTCTTAGAAAAAAGTCTGAATCCCAGAAACTATAATGCACACTCACTTTCTCATTTCAAACCAAAATGAATTCACAAAAAAGAATCATATACTCCATGGTCTAGTCTTTTGGGGACAGATGTCAAGAGGGCAAGCCTTAAAAGTGTTCTATGTTCCCATCTGTCCCAGTCAACAGCACCATGCTGGGCATTCAGAAGCCCAAGTCACACCTCATCTGAAAGTTATTTCCCCAATTAGCTTTAACTTTCAAGATAGATCTCAACTTCTCCAAGATGAGAAATGATATGGGGCAAGAAAGAAAAATCCCAATCAAGCAAGCAGTTGAAAAAGCAGACATAAGGGGCTGAGGGTTAACTGAGGCAACATAAAATAAGCCTGTGGCAGAGGGTCCCCCAAAGCATGGAGGCCTCTGGGACATGCATGGCTGGGAGAGCAAGACAGAGGGAGTCTTGACACTGCCTCACCTTCCTCTTGTCTAATGGAGGGAGTGAGACCCCATTGGAACGGTTAAGGTCGGACACCAACACCTTCAGAATGTCCTGAATCTACAGCAGGCGAGAAGGAAAAACAAGGGCAGGGGAGAGAGGCAAGAAAGTCAGGCCAAGAAGAAGAGAAAGGGTCAGGGAAATGGAATACTCAAAGAGCAGAGATCAGCACCCAGGCCTGCACATCCTTCCAAACAGCCACCTACTGCCTTGTCAGAGGCAGCCCTCAAAGTGCAGAAGAGTCCCCCAGGGGATGTAGTCAGTTTCTCTTGACCAATGCAGCAACTCAACACTGAGGCCCTTTCCACATACCCATGACTGCAAGGAGAATCCGAAAGGCCCCAGAACAATGTGTACCTTCAAGACCAGACTCTCAAGTAAGACTTCACTCTCATACTGCTACAGAACAGCTAAAAACAAGTCTGTAAGACACTAAGCCAACCCATCATCATCTTGTCAGATAAACTGTGTGTGTGAGAAACTTTCCTAAAGTAAGCCAGCAAGCTCGTGAAGAGGGACTTAAAAATTGGATCTTCTCTTACTGTTGTTTCTTTTTAGGAAGGCCTGAGAACAAATGATGCTCTCTCTGGCTTGGTTTCTACCCACAAACCAAGAAAATCAGCAGTACTATTGTTAAATCACTGTAACTCCACAGCAGACCCTCTATTAGGGAAATTAACATAAAAAACTGCAATAAACTTCATTTAAACTTTATAAATATACATTAAACAATATTACCACTATTTTAGAGATATGTAAATAGAGGTTCAAAAGTTTAAACAACTTGCCCTAAATCTTATCATATTCCTAGCAGATGAAGAGATAGGATTCAGACCAAGATTTTATTTTATTTTTCTGTGCTGAGATAAAACCCAGGGTCTCTTGCCAGGCAAGACCTAACTTATTACCACTGCACTAGGCTCCCAGACCTCAAAGCCAGAATTTTTCAGCAGCACTGCACTTCCATCTGAACCACAGCCCTCTCCAGCCCACCCCAGTAATCTGCCAGCCAGACTCACATCCTCTGGTGACTGACAATCATTGGCGGTGGTTTTCTCAGGGCTACAGCCATTTTTAATCTTTTTCTTCTTTTTCGCTCCTGCAGGAACACCAGGACTATTCTTCTGCTGATACTCTCTCAACTGTGGAAAAGAGAACAAGGACACTCAAGAAAACCATTTGCCCCACAGTCATAACCTCCACTCCAGCTTTCCAATTTTTGAGGGGTTTTGTTGGTGTTTCTGTATGCACTATTTGTTTGAGACAGGGTCTCATGTATCCCAGGCTAAGCTCCAACTCACTATGTAGATATGGGCGACTCTGAACTTACACTCTTCCTGCCTGAACCTCTAAAATCTCTAAGATTACAGGCATGTGCCATCATACTTTGTGTATATATTCAGAGCTAGAAACCAAACCTAGGGCTTTGTTCAGGTGAGGCAAGTATTCTACTAACTGAGCTTCATGCCCACTTCCCTCCCATGCAGTTTTTATAAAAATACTCTTAAATACATAAGTCTCATGTAATGGTACCACAATTCTACAAGATACCGTTATGACTTTTTTTTTTGGTTTTTTGAGACAGGGTTTCTCTGTGTAGCTTTGGAGTCTGTCCTGGAACTCTCTCTGTAGACCAGGTTGGTTTTAAACTCACAGAGATCCACCTGCCTCTGCCTCCCAAGTGTTGGGATCAAAGGCATGCGCCACCACTGTCTGCCATAATGACCTTTTAATGGCCGAAAAAATGACATGGCCAAAAATGCAGTAATTGGGTTGGGAATGTAGCTCAGTGGAAAATACTTGCCAAGCATTCAAGCGGCCCTGAGTACCATCCCAAGCAACACATACACACAGAAGCAAACACAGAATTTAAACTCAATCTTCTGACTCCCAGTGCTGGGGTTTGCAGCTCCCAAGGGAAAAATCTAGAGGTAGAAATCAGAAAGTAAACATTTAGTAGGCAGGAACTAGCTGGGTGTGTTGTCACCTATCTGTAATTCCAACTCCTGGAAGGGAAGGCTAGAGGAATGACAGTTTGAAGTCAACCTCAGCTATACTGCAAAACCCAATCTCAGAATAAGAAAACAAGCAAACAAATGAACCAGCAGACAAGAACTATATATACTGGATCTTAAACCGCCCCCTCTTTTCAAAAAATTTGATCTTGCTGAGCATGCTGGTACACGCCCTTAATCCTAGCACTCAAAGCAGAGGCAGATGGATTTCTGTGATGAGTTGAGCTATCTTGGTCTACATGGCAAGTTCTAGGCCAGCCAGAGAGGACACCAGATCTCATTATAGATGGTCGTGAGCCACCATGTGGTTGCTGGGAATTGAACTCAGGACCTCTGGAAGAGCAGTCAGCGCTCTTAACCTCTGAGCCATCTCTCCAGCCCCCCTATCTTTATTTTTATTATTTATTTTATGTGCATGAATGCTTTGCTCACATGTATATATGTGCACTGCATGTATACCTGGTGCACACAGAGAACAGAAGAGGGTGTCAGAACCCCTGGAACTAGAGTCACAAATGATTGTGAATCATCATGGGTGCTGGGAATAAAATCCCAAAATTTTGTCTTTAAAATAAATATGCATGTATGATTGTGCCTCTGTGTGTGTGTGTATGTGTGATGCACATGTATGTCTGTATACTGTTAAGGGTACACAGGTATGTCATGGTGCACACAAGAATATCAAGAAGACTACCTCAGTGTTGCTTCTTCTCTTCCACTTTGAGACAGGTCTCTTGTCACCACAAACCTGACTAGGAATTCTGTCTCTACATTTCATCTAGCCATAGAACACCTGGGCTTACAGATTCATGCTACCACGTCTGCTTTTATGTGGGTTCTAGGTCCTTCTGCTTGTGTGGCAAGCATTTTACCCAATGAGTCCTCTCATTGTTAAAAGCCAAACTACTGTTAAAAGCAATACAACCTCAAATCAATGCTTTCTTTTTTCTTTTTTTCTTGTGGCAATATAAAAATTCCAAAAAAAAAAAAAAAAAAAAAGATGGCTGAGCACAGTAGCCCATACCTTTCATCCCAGCACTAGGCAGGTGTGGATTTCTGAGTTTGAGGTCAGCCTGGTCTATACAGTGATTTCCATTACAGCCAGGACTACATAGACCCTTCTCAAAAATTTTTTTAACTTTTAAAAGATTGTTATTTATTATTATTATTATTATTATTATTATTATTACTATTACCTTTTCATGTCTTTACATCATGCACATGTAAAAACATAGTTGAACAGAAGAGGGTGTCATACAGAGCCTCTGGAGACATGGGTGATGGGAACCAAACCCAGGTCCTCTCCAAGAGCAACAATGCTTTAGCTGCTGAGCCATCTCTCCAGCCCCAATTCTTGTCTTTTTGTTGTTGTTGTTTTGTTTTGATTGTTTTTTGATAGATGGATTATTACATATACCATGCTGGCCTCAAACTCCATACAAACACAAAAATAATCTTTTGACTCTACACCCACAGTCTTGGGAATACAAGCATGCATTGCTCTGCCCAGTTAATGCCGTGTTGGCATTAACTGGGCATTAATCCAGCCCAGAGCCTCATATGTTTTAGGCAAATACTCTCGATAACTAAGCTGACTATTGAAGGGGCCCTTGTATACACTAGACAAACACCTTAACAACTTAGCTACATGCCTAATCCCACTAGGGCCCTTTACCAGCACGTATTAAAGGCACACAGCAGTACTTCCTAAACTTTTACAACATAACATAAGAGAAGAAGTCATGAAGGCAAGCCTTAGTGAACATTAGACCAGTAGGAGCACAACCTAAACATGGTTTCAGTCTTTACATTCTTACAGATCTATGAAAAACGCCATGCCTGATTTTTATGTTCGTGTCTCAAAAGAATCATGGGAAAGCGATGCTTCAGAGAGACGCCTCATGTTTATCCTGTGGTTCTCATCAACCCACTTTGAGAAGATCATTTGGCTGAATTTTAAGCTGTTCGATTTCCCAAGACACTGATCCACGCTACACACGCATTTTGCTCCAGAGATATTTCAGTCTCTCTAGCGAGTGGAAAACTGAAAAAATCCAACCCAACCCAAACCCGTTCTTCCATGTCAGCAAGGGACACTGACAGTGTTTTGTGCTCACATTAATGGCTAAGTTAAGGGAGTGTGGGCGCCTAAACCGTCTCCGTACTCGAGCTCCCTTCCAGGTGGAAACAGGTGTTCCACCAGAGAAACAGAAAAAGGGGTGACATTAGGTGAGCCGGCGGGACGATCCAAGACCGGACTCTTGATACTAATGACAGTTTCGAGGGGGACTGTGACGTAATTGCATTCCACTCCACACTACCAACGCCCGAGTACAGGGCCAGGA